GCTAATGACTTGAGTTGTTATATATATATCTTGAAATTATTACCACTGAAAAAAAATAATAATGTACACCCAAAAAAGTTTTCAATTCACGATGAAACAGAAAACAAAAAAAGAGGTTTTTTCACTATCAAGTAAATATTGAATGACTTATTGATGCATCAAAAATCGTATTTTCAAGTGAAAAAGATCATGAATATTTGGGTCGCAAATTGATAGAGATGATTTCGTTTCTGAGTAATTTAATATCTTTGGGAAGAGTTTTTTCTTTTCTGTATGAAAAAAACATATTTGGTAATTTCATCTTTTTTTCGTATACTAATAGAAAATTAAAATATTTGCATATAATTTGTACAAGTCCAAGTTATATAGAAGAATATTTCTAGTACGTTCAATCGAAGCAAAATTCCTTTTTTTGTATTTTGGCTATATACTTCTTCATCTTCACAAAAAAATTTGGGAATCTTCCAAAGGAAGAAAGAAAGCTGTTGATTTGAAAATAAACTCTACACATAGATGTGTAGATCATGCAAATAAGTAAATTTCAGAGACAAACTTGAAGAAAAGGCCCCCAAGAAACAACTACTTTTATATGAACATTGAATTATACACAAAAAAATGTTATATTCAGTTGGTACTCCGAAAATTTGTTATGGAATTGAAACAGATATCATTCAAAGGATTCCTACACAATATAATATGTGAAAGAGGTAAAATTTCGTAAGAAAGGTAGAATTGAAACTTTCTATGTTTTGAATTACTTTTATTTGTATCTAACAAATCTATTTTTGGGGAACTCTTTCATTTTTCAACAGTTACTGTCGAAGAAATTCATAAATGCTTAGAAATGATATTACTTTGCTGCCCAACAATTCTACCAGTATTAACAAAAATTTTCAATTCTTGTTTACTGGAAGGTATTTTTCCTGGTATCTGGAAAGTGTCACGGATAATTGTATTGCCTAAAAAAAGTGATGTAATGAGTTACAATGACCTTCGCCCGGTCGGTATACTACCATGTCTGTCGAAGGTAATTGAAAAAATCATGAACTTTCAAATAAGACATCATCTTGAAAAATATACTATATTGCCTTCTGAACAATCAGGGTTCAGACCGGGACACAGTTGTGCTACAGCCTTACTTAATATTGTTGAGAGAGAGACAGATGGAGGAAAAACAACTGTTCTTATTCTCTTAGATTATTCGAAAGCATTTGATACGATAAACCACGAAATTTTACTCTCTATTTTACACTTTATAGGTTTTTCGAGCAGTGCTATTAGTCTTATGTGTATTTATCTACAGGAAAGGAGTCAATACGTGGATGCAGCTGTGGGTCAGTCAGCAAGAGAAAAGGTCACTTGTGGAGTTTCACAAGGGTCTATACTTGGTCCGTACTATTTAGTATATACACAAGTAATTTCATTTCGAGCATTACAACTTGTAAAGTCCACTTTTATGCTGATGATACACAGTTGTTAACTCATTTGCTCCTGAAGATTGGTCTGAGGCTCAAAAATTCATATCTGAAGATATAAACCGATTAGTAGAGGTATCAAATGCGCATAAGTTGGAAATCAACGCACTCAAGTCTAAAGTAATAATATTTGGAAAAAACAGTCATCACATTGAAACCATTATGAGAATTCAAAATTAAGAGTTACTGTTTACAAGTGATGCAAGGAATTTAGGTTTACACTTAGTTACAGAACTTCGATTTAGAAAGCATATTAACTCTTGTCTTCAAAAGGCTTATTGTTAATTGAAAATGTTATACCCTCATAGACATGTTCTTTCACAATCACTTAAAAAAACGTTAAGTGATTTTCATATAGTTAGTAGCGAAACCATTTTTTGTTACTGAGATTTTGATAGCTTCCATAATACTTTTCAATAATCCGACGGATCCACGGTTTTCAAGCCTGGTTTCTTTAAACAATCGACAATTTAACTAGTATTCATGTATTCAATGTACGTATTTGAAATATTCAGTGTGAATTTTTGATTCAGAACAAATGAATGTTGAAATATTGGTCATTATTTGATCAATTCGTTCGATTTGTAGTTGTATTTATGCATTATCATCATATTATTATAGATGGGTGTGTCAGTTTATAACGATTGTTCAGCAATAAGGAATAAGAGGACATGTCTTTATCAGTAGTTTCCTAAATCTCCTGACCTTGCCCTTCTTTACTTTTTCTGGGGGACTCTACAGACTACCTATAAGCTGACAGTAAATATATTCTGTGAAAGAATTCTTACATAAAGAACCATCCTTTGGAAATAGCTATTTATATCAGAAAAATATCAAAAAAGCACTATTTAATAGAACTGTTCAATGTCTCATACTTATCGTATCTGAAAACTAAAAAACATATGGTTTTTGATAGAAACAAAGCATAATTTCTGTGAAATGTCATTTTAGTATTTTCCAAGTCATACATTTTCTGGTCAGTTTTTCCGAAATTTGAAAAGGATCTTAAGGGTAGTATATACCTACCACGTATCTTGTATTTACATAATATGGGGCATATATAGGGCATACCTGAAGATGTCTTAAACGTCGACGAAGTGAGCACAAATTTCAAAAATGGTCACATACGTTTATAAAAAAGGTCCAGCTTTTGTGAATTGAATGTGATGGTGGAGAAGAAAATTGAAAGAAATAGCTGCCTATAGACTGCTGTGAATGTCAAGGAATGACCTAGAAATGGTTGTACATGATTGTTTCCGATGAAATGTAGGAAATGTGGAAAAATAACAAAACAATTCATTGACCGAAAAACGCGGTTATGCCTTCTCAAATCTCAACACATATCTTGCTTTTCAACAACTTTTAGGAACAATTAGCGAAGATCTTGTACGAGAAAATATGTGTTAGTGTCCTAGTTCTTTTTTGTTAATGGAAAAGTGTTGAATTTTCGGAACTTCAACTAATATTTCAATGCAATTGAATTCATAATGTGATTTTTTTTGTTATTTTCCTAGTGAAATGGAACCGTTTCTGATCGAAAACTCTTTGAGTTCTCCACGAAACCCTAATAATTTCATTTCCTCAGATCTGCAAATTGATTTATATCAGAGTGATATAAAAAGGCAATTTACAATATGTTTGTTGAAAAATGTTACTGAAGTTTCGTCCCAACAGCAAAGTTTAATATTCCTCTTGAAGATGATCACTTGGTGATCGAAACACGTGTGGAAGTATTAAAAATAACGCTCTGCTATTGGGAAAAAACTCCAGTAATCTTTATTACTAGATCAAAGGTTCCAAACAGTGCATCACAAATATATTTGTTCTTGCTGCTTTTACGTTAATGAGAATGGGAAACTATTAATTCCACGATTTCAATATTCACGGATCTCTGATAGTGTTAAAGTTACCAAAAGTTGAATATAGGAGTATTTCGGATCAGCCCGTTTGTTATTTTCTAACAATGAAAGGATTTTGAAAAGTATCATTATTAATTACTATTATTAAAAGAATTTAGTGGAAAATGTATGTTCGAAACTCAATATAAATAACAATAAGCAGAATACATTTATCTTGATAATCTTGATACAGAAAATGTGGGAATCTTTCAAAGAAAGAAAGGAAGGAATCAATTTCAAAAATTAACTCCATGCAGAAATGTGTAGATCAAGCTTTAGAATATTCACACATTTTTTTTATTCAAAGTTGGAGAAGCAGAGGGCCAAAAACTTTCCTTCTTAAAAATTAGTCCCCCCTAAAAATATACCTTTTCTACAGAAAACCTTTCATTTTAAAAAAATACACTCGAGTTCGAAAAAAATTTTAATTCACTGCAAATTAAGTAACATTTTTGTCAATTATATTATATATTCAATAATTGAATCACAGTAAATTGAATTTAATTCTCAACCAATAGTGATTACTACAGCAATTTCGCAGTTTATTTTTAAAACTTGAAGTGGATGCAAGAAATATATAAATAATTATGTTGTGATAAATTATACGAAGAAAACTGCTGTGTCATATCTGTATTGAATGTTTCCAAATAAATATTCAAAGTTTCTACATTTCTGTTTAGTTTATGAATGGTTTCTTATTGGAAAACAGATTTTGACAATCATGATATCAGAAGTGAATTTCCCATTCACGTATATCATCGTTTTTGTTTCAAATGCATCTACCAATGACTGTTTCACAAAAAACAATAATTCATGCATATGTGCTAATTCAATCTGTTCCGATCCTGGAATTTATAAACAATTATTCAGGCTTTTTGACGAAATTACGAAAATATGGAAGATTTTACAAGATGTGGAAAATTTTGAATTGACTAATGTAATCAGCTTATTTTGTATAATCTGTTATAAAATTATAAGTTAACATTTTGAATACATCAATGTTTAGTTTATAGGCTCAAATTCGGAATACATTTTGATACGGAAATTCAATTTTATTTCCAGTAAGTGTATTTATTTCTAAATCATCACAACAGTATGTATTTTTGTCGGATCTCTTTCACACATACCAAATGAAAATACAGGAATTCTGGTGGATTTTTTTATTTTTAATATACTTAAAAAATCTATAAGAGAAGTGGAGGAGTCAAATATAAAAGTATAACGTCTGTTACTACTCCCCTATTCGATATAAATATTATGTTGAAATTTTTAAGGGCCTCATCGATTTCCCGGTGGTAATTGTAGTTTTTGTTACAAATATATCTTGTAAGCTCATTCTAAATATTTTCTGAACGGTTTGTATGAGTTTTGTGCTGTAAGCACCAAACAATACAAGCAAAGTCCAATTTACTGAAGATAAATTCATGATAGACACGAATCAATGGTTTTACATCAACATATTGACATTTCCTCATTATATAACCCTACTTTCTTCGATGAAAAAACACTTATAGGTAGTTTTGATAGGTAGTTGTGATAGGTATTATGCGAATTATAATAATGATAAGGGGCTCTCGTATATATGTTCAAATAACTCGATTTTTTCAAACGCAACCCAAAAACTTACTATCGTCTACAGAAAACCACTTTCAAGCAAATTATCATAGATATATTTCGCGCCACTTTACGCTTTACCGCCACTAACAAGCTGAAGACTTGGCAACGCGGCTCCCGCTCTTTGTTTTGTTTCTGGCGCCATCTTGCTTCAGGCGCATTCGGTAACCGACAATTATAGTCTCGGCCTTTAGATATATTACTTCTTACTTTTATACATTTGTCGGAGTATAGGAATGCATTTTTCGACTGCGCGTGTTATTAAAACGACATTAAGAAATGTATACACTGGCCTGCCTATTTTCACTTCCACTCACAAATTACACATAACCTCAAACTAGTGGAAGCCATTATCGACTATCCATTATCTATTGTCACTTGTCAATTAGTAGGTATAGATTTGATGGCATCTTTGATCATTGTTGTCGCAGCAACAGCTACGATTCGACTAAAAGTAGCCTGGTTTACATGCTCCCAAAGAGTAATTTGTGACGAAATAAGGGGAAAATTATAAAATTACATTGCTTGACTTAAACTACGCTGTTTATCGTCTGGCTGTGTTCCAGTTCTTCGAAGAGGTCGTTAGAAAAGGAAAGAGAATGAGCTTTTGTGCAAAGGGGAGTATTTCAGAATGACACAGATATCTATCTAGTCATTCATTGTTCAAGAACTGGTAGGTTTGAGTCGGAATGGAAATTTTCGAATCAAAAACACATTTTACTGGTAATGTTTCTATTATTATCTATTTCTTCATACAAGTACCCAAAAGACAGGAGTACAGAAAAATCCTTGAGGCGCTGTAAGAACGGTAACTGTGGGAAAGTAGCTGTGGATATTTACTTATTATTTATCATTCTGTATGTTTATTTTGTGTTCATTTGTTTTTTAAACATGATTTATCAGTTGAAGATTAGAAAACGTCAATAAAGTTCCTTCTTGACTAAAATTGGATTTATTGGCTTGAGTTGAACAACTCTTCCGAAAGAATAACATTGGTAACCCCGACGTGATCACGATATGGATGGATTCAATGGATTATGTTTGGCCCGACCAATTTGGCAAGGCAAATCGTTCCCAAATTCCAGAAACTTCATGTGGCCAGTGCGTGAAAATAGTCGAGAAAGGGCCAACTTCCTTGAGACATGACCAAATATCGGAAGTATGCTCAGAAATATCTAGAAAGACTGAATGTTCTCGTAGAAGTTCTATAGATTTGGAAATGAAGAGAAAAGCTATAGAAATAGAAAAACAACGAAGAAATCTGGAATTGAAACAGAAAGAAATAGAAAATAGTTTATATTTGCTTCAGATGGAAGAAGAATTACATAAAGCGGAGCTAGCGGAAAAAGAAAATGGCAGTACTCGTGATAGCGTTCATCTTCAGTCTAGAACATTAAGTTTGGCTTCGAGAGAAGAGTCGGTTAATGAACAAGAACACAGAGGTACTGTAGCCCAATGGGTTGAAAATATATCTATCCACCAACAGCATAGAAATAGTAGGCAAAAGTGACGAGAAAAATACAGAAAAAATAACTCGGTGTATCATTAATGAACTTACTGGCAAGAGACACAAAAAATTTGTAGACATTTCGTTTTTTCCTACTGAATTTAATGACTTCTATTGCTCTATTGCGGAAGACTTGACGAAAAATATAAAGGCAATATGATACAAATATTACCGAACTGCATGAAATATTATTTTCCATTAAAAATAAAAACTCCACAGGCTCAGATGGAATCTCTATAAAAATCCTAGAAAATATTCCGATAAGAATACTCGATATATTAGTTGGTCTAATGAATAATTCATTTAGAGAAGGAATCTTTCCAGTTTTTTTGAAGAAGTCGATTGTGTTAGCACTGCTAAAGGGATAAGTCATCAATGGTCCATCAAGTCTTCGTCCAATTTCTCTAATCTCTGCAATGGCTAAATTGATAGAAAAATTATTCAAAACAAGACTCCTTTGCTTTCTGAATGAAAACAAAATAATAAGTGATTGCCAGTTTGATTTCCAAAAGCAAAAAAACACTTCCGATGCCATATTTTCATTTCTTTACAATGTTTATTCCAACATAAATGACAAGGAAACAGTAGCTGCGGTCTTCTGTGATATAGCCAAAGCATTTGATTGCATGAATCATGAAATTCTTTTGCGGAAACTCAGTAGATATAGTATGACTGGAATAAGTCTTAAGTGGTTTGAGTCATACTTAGCAGATCGAAACCAGATGGTCAAAACCACTTCATAGTCAAATGAAGGTAAAATTACTTGTGGCGTCCCACAAGGTTCGGTACTGGGCCCACTTTTATTCCTAATTTATGTAAATTGAGAATAAAAGTTTATCAACATCCAAGGAAAATGTACTTTATTTGCTGATGATACTACAATTTTATGGCATGCTCCTAACAACCATACGTTGTATGAAGCTATTGAGAATGACATCACGAAAGTGAAAGACTGGTTTGACTCAAATCTCTTGAGCTTGAATTTACCAAAAACAAAAGTAGTGTCCTGTCGTTGCCAGATTCCAGCCGCACATCTAAATAATATTCAAATTGAGAACGTACCAACTTCTAAATTCGTTGGCTTGTTCATTGACAATAATTAAAAATTCAACAGACATGTAGATACTTTGAAATCGAAGCTCTCCTCTGGATGTTATACAATACGAGTAACTTAATTTGAGCTCGAGTTTGCAGAAGCCAGAATGGTTTATTATTCCCTTTTTGAATCCCATCTTCGTTATGGTATTTGCTTTTGGGGTGTGTGTTCTACCTCATACCTTCAATCAGTATTACTAATACATAAACGTGCAATACGATGCATATGCAAAGCCAAGCCTAGGGACTGTTGTCGGTCTCTTTTTGCCTCTAACAGAATCCTAACTGTGGTCTCCTTATTTATATATGAGACAATCTGCCTTCTCTTCAAAAATAGGGTATTGTTTAACAACTTGGACGAGCCAATGTATCAAACCAGACAAAGATTCAGCTTTAAATTACAGCTGCCTTCTTCGACCCTAGTTAAAGATTCCTTTATTTACAACGGTCTCAAAAATGTTCAATAACCTTCCTCAAGCTATAAGAACCATAAATGACTTTAGAGCTCTTAAGAAAGAGTTGAAAGTCTTGCTTTCTGTGAGACCTTATTATAGCTTTGCAGAATTCTATGATGATAATTTTAATTGGGAAGACTAACTGTAATATCTATGGTATTTTATTGATTTGATTCAATTTAGTTTGAATTGATTTATTTAATTTTATTGACCATGTTCTTATATCCTGAACGTTTGTATTAGGTTATTATTATTTACATGTCTCTTTTCAGTTCATGTTATCACTTACTTCTAGTGATTTTACTTTTGTGATTTAATGTATATGTTATTTTAATTTCGCACAAGGCTTTGTCAATAAGACTTTATTCTTCAGGCAATAAAGTATATTTGAATTGAATTGAATAGTGGATTTTGTAAAGATTTTGTAAAGCTTCAGCTATCGACCAGAAGGATCTTGACCCGTTGGGATTGGCAAGCAGTTTATCCCTAATTCTCTGATTATATCCTTCATGGTCCCAAAACAAGATGAGAAAGAGATGGTTCAAATAACTTTGGTGCGAATTTGTTTAGAATCCAGTCCCTGCTATCAGGGACTTGCAATTGTAAAGCATTTTCACAGTCACCTATTAAGGCATCGGTTTGCTATGAGAACTGACTATAATGCTCTTCAGTGGATTAAAGTCACTATTCGAAATGAATTCCAGTTGGAGGAGTTCATACCTGTCAAAGCTGTGAGACTGGAGACAAAATGAGAAGAGGTCGATGATATCCTTCGTTCCTACTAACAATTATAATATCAACAAAAATATGATTGATGTAGAGGATCGTTCACGATCTGGAACAATCTGTAACATTCCCAAGCTCAACACTCGTAAACCTGAATATATTAATAAACATCAAGTAAGCCATCATTAACTCGATACAAAACCACTGCAGCAGTCATGCCCCATTCGGGACGTTCTATAATTAACATAAACTCTTAACGTACCCCTCTCATCAGGAATTCCGTGTAATCCTCACATCCAGTCTTTTAAAAATTAAAATGGACGTCCCCTACACAGTCTCATCGATAATTCACCAAAGTGAAACTATTTTACCGCCATTTTATTTATTGATGCCGCATTGGCTCACACGCAATCCAGGGTTGCGATAGAGTTGGAGCTAGGCCGATCGACCCTGTTCGTGTTTCGAAAGAATCATTTTGAAAGCAATCGTATCTCTGTGAATTGGTAATGAAAGGAATGAGTGAGATGAAAATCCTTCAGTTTTGTTGAAACGTGTCAATAAATATGTTTCCTGTTGAAACAAAGAGATGGCCAAACTTTTCGATAGATCCAAGAGTCTAGGAAGACCTCAAAAAATCTCAATACAATAACGAAGTTATAAGATTCTGTAGATAACTTTGAAAAAAATGAATCATGTACTATGCCTCCAAAACAATACTAGACCCATTTTTGAAGAGACAAAATACGAGCTTATAACCTCCATCTCTCCATTAGAGGTCGATTGTTCAGAAGTAATCATGGATCAACAACTGTCTGAGAGCAGCTATATCGTCAAATCTTTTCCCGAAGTTGTGGTGTTAAATCAGATCTTTTCGAGACCCTCAAGAGTTGAGATTGGAGACCAAAAGAAAAGAATAAGCTCTTCAACAGATCTAGGAGTCTAGATAGTTTCAAGATGATCATACAAAACATGGGTACAATAGCGAAGTTAGAAGATTGAAAAAAATGAATCATGTACTATACCTGCAGAACAGAACTAGACCCATTTTTGAAGGGACAAAAATATGAACTTATAACCTCCATCTCACTTAGCTAACATTTTCCATTGGACGTCGATTGTTTAGAAGTAATCATGGATCAATAATTGACTGGAAGCGGTTATATCAATAAATCTCTTCTCGCAGTTGTGATAGAAAATTGGATCTTCCCAAGACTCCTAAGAGTTGGGATTGGAGACTAAAAGAAAGGAATGAGCTGTTCAACAGATCCAGGAGTGTAGATAGTTTGAGGACGATCATACAAAATATGGGTACAATAGCGAAGTTATAACATTCTGTAGATAATTTTGAAAAAATGTATCATGTACTATACCTGCAGAACACTACTAGACCCATTTTTGAGGGGACAAAAATATGAACTTATAACCTCCATCTCACTTAGCTAACATTTTCCATTGGACGTCGATTGTTTAGAAGTAATCATGGATCAATAATTGACTGGAAGCGGTTATATCAATAAATCTTTCCTCGCAGTTGTGATAGAAAATTCGATCATCCCAAAATTCCTAAGAGTTATGATTAGAGACCAAAAGAAAGGAATGAGCTCTTCAACAGATCCAGAAGTCTAGATAGTTTCAAGATGATCATACAAAATATGGTTACAATAACGAAGTTATAAGATTCTG